TGCGAGGAAAGCCGATAATACATGTAGATAATTAATTAATGTCTTTTTATTCATACCTGGAATAAAGATAAAACCGATTAAAACTTAAATCATTTATTTTACATCATGTCTAAACACCATGTCTCAACATTCAATTGCTTCTAATAAATCGAGAATTGTCACGTCTTGGAACAATATACGATGAAACGTGTATTGTTTAATTAATCGAATATACAACTTGCGCTGTCTAAAAATATATAAAAACGTATTTAGAAAGTAAAACCGATTTATTTCAACACATATGTGATATTCGGGCAAAAAATCCACAAGCTCAATTTTTAATTTTGTTTTAAGCTAATCCTATTTCGGCGGAAAGAAAGTTTTTATTCATTAAAACTATAGAACTTTATTGAATGTTTTAAATACATTTTTACGTTGTTTTTGTACACGAAAGAAATTCAGACGGAATAGAATTAGCGTGAAAAAAAATTCAATTTAATTACTAAATGTTCTTTAAACAAAATAGACACATATTTTTCTTAATTGGCATGCAGCTGTTGAAAGAGCACAACGAAAACAAGTTCAAAAAACTTAAATATATGTCATTCATAATTAATCGTATCATAAATCAAGTAATCATTAATTAATCGTAAAAAGATTCCTGATGAGCGCTGGATGGCAGTCCGGGCACACATCTTTGCTGTGCCAACGCAACGCGCATCTCTTTTATGTATATAATATTGTAATTCTAATTAATCCTTTAGATAAAATAGCTAAAAGCGTGCTACGTTAAGCGAAGGTAACATATAACATTCACCTTCATCGCTGATTGAAGTAATATTTATTTATCATCAATTAAAAAGAATATTTCGGATAAACGTTATTCAGTTTCAGGGAAGCATATACATATTACATAGATATTCTTTATTTATAAAAAATTTTGATGACTGATGTATTCCAAGAGCAATATCATCTATTTTTAAATCGATTTCATTCATTAAGTCATGTAAAAAAGAAATCTAAAACTGCATAATAAGCATTTCTATCTTTGCAATAAGTGTATTTCTAGAAAATTATACTCGTACAATAAATAATTTAACATCTCTCTCTTTTTTATAATTTTTTTATTCTCAACATTAAATATCTTGTTATTATTGTCATTTCTAATTTTTCTTTTTATAAAAATTTCTCTTATATTATCGAACTATATTACTTGAATTAAAAAACCATGTTTTAATCGCGATTTTTTAAATATTTCGTAACTTATATTTCAATGTATTTAAAATGTTTCTTTATTTCTACCGTAAAGATATATATTCCATAAATTCAAATGTTACAATAAACAATTGTCTAGCTTAAAAAATATGATAGTATGATTTGAAGTATTTTCCAGTTTTCTCTTTATTGATAAGCGAATAATAATGATTTTGAATATGATGATATTAGATAAGATAATATTCTCAAGAGAATATTGTTATCTTCCAAGAAACTATTTCTCCTAAATACCTTTTCTAATTAAATAAATTTTATCTGAAATATTAATTGATGATATGTAAAGATATTTGTGAACATCTCGAAGTTGAGGCACAGAAGCGAGTCAATGGATAATTCTATGACCGATTGAAAATTTTGTAGATATAATTCCTCCTTGCACACACTTTCACATACATCTTTCTAAAGCTAATAACGCGTTAATATAATTGTATGTAATTTCTATATAAATTGTCATGATTACAACACGGCACAACCATACAACGTATAGTATATCAAGTTTGTCACTGTACGCAGAATAATGACACATTTAACATTGTACCTACCCCAAATTGCGTGCGTAGTATACAAATTAATAACGTAATTTGCGTACTACGCATACTTAATACGCTAGTATACTTTGTACAATAATACTCGTCTTTTAGGAGAACGATTATGATTAAAGAGAGCTTCGTTTCAACGTACTGAACGTCAACGTTATTTTAACGATTACTCTGATATTTCACGGACGGGATTATTTTTATTATTTTCCATTCTACAGTAAGTCTATTCGATCTTCCCTTCCCGTTTCCTTCCTTTTTTTTACGAATTTGTATTTTTTAATGCGCCGACCCCTCCTCCCCTATCAGCGAATCGGAGTTATCGAGAGCTCCATTTATTGTAAGTTTCGAAAGACTTGTACAATATGAATAATCAATAATAAATCAATAATAGAAGCTTCGTGGTCCAAAATCAAAATAAATTGAAGTTGAAAATTATTTAGCTGTACCGAGTACGAATTATAAATGTAATAAATTGACGTTTCAGCTTTAAAAATAAGATTTCGTCAAAGGTGAAACTCAAGAATAAAAATAAATTAATCCTACAAATAGTTATAAAATGTTCAAAACTTCAATTCTATATTTTTAATCCTATAACATACTCCAAATTACTAAATTTTTTCTAGTTTGGCAAACGCTAAATAAACTAAGGGAAGGCCGTAACATCATCTTATGGGTCTTTGAATACCAAGTAACGATGAGGCAGACAAACTGGCCAAAGCAGGAATAATGGAGGAACTCATCTGACCAGATTGTTATTCCTTTCACCAAAGATGAGAAGGGGTATTTGGAGAAAGAATACTTGGCTAGTTGGAAGATTTGTGACGGAGATGAAATCGGGTACAAAAGCTGGACACGGATATTATATCCGCGTGGATTAAATTAGTCAACAGGAATTGTGCGAATGGGATAATAATGCACGTTTCTGTACGATGTTACATAAGATTATATTTTGCAACTTTCTTCTCTGCGGTGTTCTTTTAGCGGGCGAGACCCATTAAAACGTGACAAAATGTTCATTCGTCATAATGATGCATTATTCGATTCTTCTTTTGTTTCCCTTTTTAGCTTCCCAATTTGTTTCTTCTCTTTACGATGATCAATCAGTGTTTAATCGTGTTTGCCATCAATTTCGGACAGTCTTTCAAATATACCGATCGAAAGAAGCGCGTATACGTAAATGTTGTCGCAAAATCTACACTACTCACGATGGCGAACTAATAATCTTTCTTTCACACACTCATGCGTTTCCTCTTTCTCTCTCTCATTTTGAAATACAACACGTACATACTCTTTCATATTCATCCTCTCATCTTCTCGTAGCCATATAAAAAAAGCGCTCGGCTAGTGTAAATGGAAAATGAAAACAGGATTAATACAATTCCTCCCGGCTATCGCGAGTAGGAGCGCGGTGAATATTGTGCAAAGTAACAATCTACAATTGCGATGTTGATTAAAAGTCATATCAATTATGAATCTTCTCTTCATTTTCATTTACGATTATTTTCAGTCTGTAACAATATATATAATATATATAATATATATCGATTTTGAGACATTTTCAGAAATTATTTCAATAAAAAACTGTTAAATCTCTCTCTCCGTGTGTATATATTCTGAATTTAAAAAAATAGAGTCTAGTGGAATCATCGAACCACAGATCATAAAGAAACGTATAATTAATATTTTTTCAAATCGTTTTTAATATGTTTTTAATGTAACAGGCAATTTCGTCATCCTGCACAACATCCCTTCGCTATAAGTGTAAAATACACACTACATGTACACATACATGTACATATATATATGTGTATATATACGTACGTATATAATGAATGAAATTATAAACTAACATTTTGTTTAATGTGTCTCAATAATTAATAATATTAATAACATTAAAAGTAACTAATCCGTATTTTTATGATAATTATATATAACGAAATGTTCGCAGCGTCTATTTATTTGTTATATTTCTTATACACATACACACATATATGTATATACATATACGTATGTGTGTGTTGTGTTGTGTGTTGTGTGTGTGTGCATATATGTGAGGTGTATGTAATGTATACATACATACACACATTTATGATGCGAGCTTACACTTGTATAATTGTTTTGTAAAGTATTTACAATTGCAGAAGGGTATGATTATTTTGTAGGCACTATGGCTTTGGACGTACACTAAGTTGTACGTTAGGGTACATCCTTGAGGGACTTCCAGACAATTTTTCCAGTGTATCCTTGAGATCTCGAGGAACAGAAGAGGTATCTCTACACGAATCTCGCTCAATAAAACAATTCCAGCACCACGTTACTCGACAGTATTCAAGTGTTCACCGGCAAGAAACTATCTTTAAAAAAATCCCGTCATCAAGTTCAGAACAGTACTACGCCTTAAATCTTAGGATCTTAGACAATATGATCGTTGCGAATTGGAATTAAATACGCATTTAAATATGACAATATAGTCTAAGATCTTTCACTCATTTTTTCACCACTGTACATGTGTACGTTTTGACTTTATCTACGTTCATCTTCGTGACATCAATAAAAAATTGATCAGAGCGTGTGAATCTCTTATAATCGGCTAGTAATATATAATTGTTATAAAACGATTACTATTTATCGCGTTTAATTTCCCTTCCACTGAATAACGAGGAATAAAATAATATATTCAAAACGGAAAATGTTTATTTATCTTGATTTGCCATTCGACCGGTTGAAGTTACAAAAGCACGCGAAATAAGACTATCATATTGTCGAACGATTTATTAACAAGGCAACATGTATCCGTTAAAAAAAAAACACATCGTCCGAAGGAAGAACGACGGACTCTAGGTCGCATATAATTTAAAAAAATTATCCGAGTCTCAATAATACGCACACAGTCATTTTTCGCGCGCACGAAGTAATCCTCGCAATCTCATCTTTCCCCTCTTCCTTTCTTCACTAAACAAGACTTTATATCAGAAAGAATTCGATGATTTTAACCGCCTCATTCATTTTACAATTGGACAACTACGAAAAGCAATTAGATCGTTGTCCGACACGAGTACAGTCTGTCCTCTCTCTGAATTCCCAAATACATTCTCTCTCCTATCTCTTAGCACAATTTACAATATTATTACAGATTGCACGAAAAAGCGCCTTCGCTTTTCAACCTTTCTCTTCTCTCTCTCTCTCTCTCTCTCTCTCTCTCTCTCTCTCTCTCTCTCTCTTCCTTATACACATACACATGCACACAAACACACACATACATACATGTACACACATTCTTCCTCTTTCATCTCTCTTCTGTCTCTTTGTCTAATATCTTTGCAATCCATTCCGCAAACGTGATCAACGCAGACCATTTCAAGCCGGAAGCACACATTAACAATATTGTGATATGTTTATCCTGTGCCTCGGCGGTTTGGCTCTTTCACATTGAGAGTTTATGGTCCGCAAGAAATTAAAATAGTATAACCACGAAATATTCCAGAATGAAACATGAGTACAAAAAAAACCGTAAAATATTAAAATATTCTGGTGCAGACAGATCAATAACATTCCTTTATAGTTTTTATGTAGAACATACAATAACAGACGGTGTAAAAAATCTTGTTACCGAAAAATATAATGCATTTCATGTGATCTATCTTTAATTTCAACAGGGTGCAATTTATGAAATTGCCTATGGTATGCCTCGACTAATTTGTTGCTATTCTTTTAAGCCTTCTTGTACTTTTAAGTACAAAAAATACGGAAAATAAATTCCAAATATAAAATGATGTGCTTAAAGAAATAATAAATAAATAAAAATGTCTTTGTATGTTTGCAATTTTTCGCGAAGATCGACGCACGGAACGAAACTGCCAACTATCATCACTATGTAACACGAAGGCGCATTGTAAAACTGACGAAGCAGTTCCATCTGTTTGAGTAACAACCCAAAAAGACACGAACGCCCGTGCAATAAGCGATGATATTCCTAGAATTTAAAATCGAAGAGATCCGAAAGACCTTCCTCGGTGCCTAACGAGAACGAGTAGTCGTTTTCGGAGAGAGGTGGTTCCAAAGTCAGTAGTTGTTCTCCAAAATCGAGAATACTCAAATCTGTAACAAAAGTAAGAGGAATGACAAACTTGCTATATAAAATCCAGCATTATTTACATTAGATTGTTTGCAAACAATTATTTAAGAGAATAATTCTGAAAGCTTTTAATATATTATATATATATATATATACATATAAAGATTCAATATTTAAATATGACATTCCTTTATAATTTTTTAATGAATCACATATAAGAAAAAGACGAGTTTTTAATTAAATTATTAAGAAATATGTCAATAATGCAGAATATATAATTTACTTCCGTTTTCTTGTGATACATCATATAAGCACTTTATTTTATTCAAAAAGTTTGCAATCAGTTACAAAGCGATTAAAGAGTACAATTACTACGTATTGTTAGTTTCAACAATGTTTCTGTAATAGATCGTTTAATTATCTAAGAAAATTGGTATTTGTGGAATCAAAATAAAGTAGTGCTGCAAAATTCGGGTCGATCATATTAATTTCCAAATTACATATATGTTTCCCTTGAAAAATTTTCAGATAGTTTTAATGAAAAGAATTTTTTTTATGAAAAGCGCATCTTGCATTCATGTATCGTATGGTAATATTAACGTAGCGATATCATATAAAACATAATAGAAGCCAATATAGTTAGTATAGATGAACGTACCTTTGCACGACACGAGCTTTGCTGTTTGAAACCGTTACCTAACTAGAACTCTGCCTGTGATGTGATTTTGATAATTTTAACACACAAGTCACAGCCAGAGCTCCATCAGGGTACGGCCATCATCCATTGGTGAAAAGGCAGTGAAATATTCAAAAGAAAGGTAATGTGTTATTAAGTTACATGGAAATATTCAACCTCTACCTTTCTTTTGAATAATATTTGTGTCCACAAGTGATTATTAAATTGTAATACATGCAACACGTTCTTTTCAAATGAGGATGTAATATAACAATTTTGCAAGACAATTATCTTATACACATAATATCTATTTTGCAAAAACTTTCAATACGAAAAGAACGCTTAAGTCGGAATTTGTTTTAGTAATACAGAGACAAAAAAAGATGAAAAATATTTTATTTAAAAAAAAAAAGAAATACAACTATGTATGTACAAGGCATAAAGCATTAAACTAAATGAAGCATTAGAAATTTTTCAGAAGTAAAATACAAGAATTAGATGAAAAAGAAACATACTAAATGCGCAACAATACAGCAATGTATATTTATTAAAATATCAATAGAAATATTGAATTATAAATACGAAAAGCGAGAAATAATAAAGACTTTTTCTCATACTATACTGAAATAAAGTATTGGAAACTTCTTTCTCTGTTATTCTGCATTAATAAATGCATCTATAATTTATATCTCAAATTTCTTGTGAAAACATATGATGAAAAGCTATTTATTAATCGATAAATCGAGAAATCTTTAACATATTCTATCAATCTGTCAAAAATGCAAAGAATAACATATTAAAAAATTAATTTATTTTAACGTATAGTGCAAAGAGAATTTCTCGCTTAATTTATGACACCATAATTCAATATAATTACGTAAGAAAATAGAATATCAATTATGAATTCCATGTGTAATTACATAATTAAATATTGATATTTCTGTCGAATACTGATATTTATAATATTAGAAATATGAATATATTTGAAATGAAAAAGAATAAAATATTACATATTTACAAAATAACATTAATAGATTTTATAACAAAATATTGATATATTCAGAAATATAATAACAGAAATTATATATAATATTCAAAAATATATATAACAGAAATTATATAAAAAATTCTTTTTTAATTTTCCATTTCTATAATTTCATGTTTATAAATTTGTTATTATATTTAAATTGATATGATGTATTTAAATAAGCATTTCAATTTATAATTTAACAATATTATCAATAATGTTATATGATCTATATGAGAATATTTCAGATTTTTAAAATATAAATGACAGAAAAAACATAATTTATAAAATTAAAAATAAGACAAATAATTTCCTCGTGTGAATAAAATAAAATACATACTCTCTCTCTCTCTCTAAATAGAAATTATTTTACAAGATTATAAACAAAGACAAACAAAAGATATTAATGATTTACTGAAAATAGCTCAAAAAATAAATATTTTTCCCTACTTATTTTCCTTCACACAATTTCAGAATTTTTATTACTTTTAAATCGGCCATTAATATAAAATATAAAAGCTTTTTCAAGAAAGAAAGAAAGCAAACTAAACAAGCGTTATTTCCCTCTAATCTTACCTGAGCTGATTTGATCCTCTGTTTGGAGTTGGAATTTGCCACCGCCCATTGGTCCATAATCATCGGATTCGCATAAGAACGCGTCCTTCATGCTTGTTACACTGGTAACTGCAGTTACGGGGGTACACAGACGAGTATTTATGAAACTCTCATCGGAAGGTACTGGCTCGATTCGCATGTCGCTTTCTCGATTAGCCAACAATTCAGGAGGCAAACAAGGTATATCGGATTCTTTTGATTGAGGCACAGATTGCGTTGTCGCATACCCAGGATAAGATGTTTTGACTGTGGAATCCTCAGGACACAGAAACACATCTATCTCGCCGTGTTCCGATCTCATATGCATTTGAAGCTAAAAACATTAATACAAATGGAGTATAAAATGCATAGTAAATATATTTTTTTTATCAAATATAAAATATTTTTCTCTGGAGACGTTGGAGAGCAATTAAAATGCAAATGATATACATATAAATAATATAAAATTTTACGGATATTTTACCTTTTGTTGACCAAAGTTATTGATCGGTTGTGGGACATGGAGGGTAGCTTCCGGCGGGGCTTTCACGGCCATAATAACTTGGTCTTTGTACATTGAAACTGAACGTAAATCATGATACGTCACATAAGCGTATTGTCTATCCGCGCAGAGCTCGCGAAGGTTTTTATCAGCACCATGAATCAATCGATCCAGAGTGTTTTCCTTAGCTTCCAAATCCGCGACCTCCCATCTGAGATTAGCGATATCGTTTCGATTGTTCGGTAACTGACCGCCTCTGTAACAAGCAATTAGTTTCGAATATAATCTCTCGTTATACAGATATAGATGATAAACTGTAAGAAAGATGTACATATAATATCTTAGTAGATAACTTACTTCCACTGGATATTGTTTTTACTTTTCTTCTCTAAAATACCAATGCCCTCTAAAACATTAGTAATATCGTATATACGACGTTTTTGTACCTCCAACTTTTCTGACGCTACATTTAAGTCCACCACACCATCCTGACTGCTTTCAACTAAGTGAATAAACTTTTTTGTGAGCAAACTCAAAGATGTATCATACCGTGTCCTTTCTACAGTTTTACCTGTAATGAAACAAATGATTCCTTTCTTGAATGACATGCAAAAAATAAGAGAAAGGTAAGTAAAGCAGAAGAGACATTTACTTTTGGTGGGTGTATGACCAGCTAAAGAATTCGAGCCGGATCTTCTACGTTTACCTCTGGGTGTTTTGAAGGCAGACTGGCTGGGACCAGTTGTCCCTACCTCCAAATTCAGTCTTCTTTTTACCGCTTGAACTGATATCTGCCAAAAAGAGAAGGAAGTTGTAACTTGATTAGACAAGTGGCAATTAAATACCTTTGCGTAAATCAACATTTTAATATGTCAATGTTACTATAAGAAATCTGGGATGCTATAGAAATTTTACCTCAGTATCAATTTATCATCATCACTCATCAATCATTTTACCTCAGCTCTTGGTGGTGGTTGTGTGGGTTTTCTCGTTATTTGGTAACAAGGTGTTTGTCCGTACTGGTGATCCTGTAAATGAGGGCTTGGTGTTTCTTCTGCCACCTTTGGAGGTTGGATTTCATCCAAAGAACCATCATCCAGAAACTCAGACTTTACTGTAGAAAGATGTTATTCGAGTGAGCTTAACAGTGACAAAATAATGTAAGATTTGAAATATGTTTCCTGCAAGCGACTTACACAACTTGGTTTCCACCATGTCTGGAGTAACTGGCCTGGCTGGATCCTCCAGGATCACTTGTCTCCTTACCCGAGGCATCCTGGTAATGTGATTGTTGTGTCTGAAATAATTATACATACATAAAACTATAAAACTTTTAAACTGTATGAAGCCACACACTAATTACTTCCTAAATAATCATGCTGTCTGAAACGCCATAATATTAATCTTTCAAACATCTATAAGACTAAAAAATAAAATTCAAGAGGTGTATATAACAAGCAGGAAACGATATACCGATGTGATATACCCTCAACCACGCGAGATGCAACAGATTGACGCGATCGGGCATTTCGACGAGAGATCACGGTAAGCTAATCCCGGTACGTAACAAGTTTCCTGCCGTACGACTCGCGCGATCGAAGCAACGAAACTCGTGGACCAGCAGTCGTGTCGTTACCCGTTACCGTGAACACGATCGGCCATTCGGCACACGAGGAAAGGATCGAGGAAATGACGGCGGTGCACGGACCTATTTCTAAGCACGCTCTGCATTTTCGGCCGTTAACCGCTGCTGCTCGCCGCGCGCGCGTGTGGCTCGGCGCGTTACACGTGCGATTGCGGCGGTGAGTGTCATTTTTAAATCCCAAGGTTTTTCAGTTCTCACACGAAAAGAGGGGAAAAAAAAAGACGCGCCGCATCGACGACGGATGGATGACCTGTCCGCACACCGGGCGTGTAAAAGTCGTGCGTTGTATATACACACGCGCGCGCGTATACACCACGAGCAATAACGGAAATAATAAGGGCGACGCGAGCACCGCAGTCAAGCAATGCTACGTGTGCGATATTAGCATCTTTCTCTCTCTCTCTCTCTCTCTCTCTCTCTCGCTTGCTCGCTCGCTCTCTATCCGCCTGTCTTTGGCGGAAGGCGCGATCGGATTGCGCGGCGCCCGTGCTTTAGGTCGGACGCACACGAGACTCGCAAGTCCAATGAAAGTGGCTGCGAGGAGCAAGGAAAGAATGATGGTGTCGAAGAAAATTCGATTCCCGCTCGCGTTCCGAAGAGAAACGCGACAAAGAACGGAATAACTCCATTAAATGTAAACGGAACTTGAAAAGCGAGGAGAGAATCCAATAAAATAGAACTGGAGGAACTAATAGATCAGATGAAATTGAACTTGAAGAAATCCGGCTTACATATCAAATTTTGAGAGCGAAAAGAGAAATTGAATAGAAATGAAACTAAGCATATCAGTAGAAAAAAAAGAAGGAAAGAAAAATCTTATCTCGTTCGGATGTTTAAATATAAGATAAATATATAATAAAATCATACATATTTTTATCTGTTTGTCGAAACTTGTTGAAATTACCAATTCCGAGGTTTTATTCTCGAAAAATATCGCAAATGAAAATACTAGGGAAATCTATAATATACATACATAACGTATACTATAGTATTTTCGTACATTCTTGTATGCGATATTTTTGAGAATACAACCTCTGATCCCGAATTATTTTTCAATTCAGAATACCAGCACAGCTGATCGCACGTCGTTATCTTTTAAAAGTAGGCACAAAAGAATTGTCTCATCATTATTCAAGTATTTTATTGATAAGTCCAAAATCGTAATTATCGATACTTAATCAAGATTCAATGTCTTCAATTCCCGCCAGCTGTGCAATTATTTTCTACCTGTCTAAAAATAACATATTCACGCGCATTTACTTTACGGTGGTAATGATATAGCGAATTCGATTGGATGCACTAGTGCATATTAAAGTCATACTAATTTAATCTGAATAAAAGTAAAATGCAAATATTTCGAATTATAAAATACAAATTTAGGAGACGTGCAATAAATGTAGCACAAAAAGCACAATTAGCACAAAAAATTGTATTGAGGATTTCATGGTTTAATTCGCTTTTATATTAAATTAAATACACATTTTTGCGTCAATTTGTGTTTTACGACAGCTTTAATGTACACCACTGCAAACTGAGTGAATTCAATCGAATTCGTTAACAGATCCAGATACAGGGTAAAACTTGGAAGATTGAAGTAGAAATGTTGATGTGAAATAGTACTTTTCCCGTGCTTTCAGATTAGTTTGTCGTGTGTCAACTGAAGCCGACCACACGTGACGCCGTTTATATCCATCAGAAGCTATAAATAAGAAGATTACATTCTCGAAAGTACGTTTGCGTCAGTATAAACATCACGTAAATGTCGCATCGGTACATCTTGCAACGTTGTCTACGTAAGTTGGAATATATTGTAACGTGATAAAGATACGTATGATTTTAGTATTAAGATTAATACCAGTTTCTTCACTTGGTCACAACAATCGCAATATATAATTCGGCATAGACTTTAGATTCGTTTGCCTGCACTGAATCTATACTGAGCAAATATATCGTAGTCACGTGTACGACTCTTTACTGAATACAAATAAGTACGTTTGCTTCTCTTTCTACAACAGCGATTCTCAAGTCACATTTCCAGCAAACCCGACTGCGCGATATTCATTAAGCACAATAAGCATAATTGCGCTACTTATTCTCCTTCATCAATAATTGTTATATAATCAAGCAAGAGAACTGAACTCGGTGAAATTGGAAAATGTAATAAATATGAGACTCAATACATTACAATAATAAATAATTCTTTGCTTTTGTTAGCTATTCTACGGAAGAAATAAAAAATTAATTTCAAAACAATTAATCCAAAGAAAATATTTTTTTATTTTTATATCGAAAGTGTAAATTATTATTTTCATTTGCATATCTTATATTTTATCATTTAATTGTTACATTTTATCAAAATATTATCAAAGAAAATGGAGATATCTAAAAGTAATGAAATGTATTATATATAAAAGTCGCAAATTAAGAGTATTATATTGCGAGATGATTTAAATTGAATAAGCTAACTTAAGGGCTTCACATAGCAAACGCTTGGTATGCGTCTGAACACTCCGAACGGACCCATGGTGCGCTCGGCCCGGGGAATTTTAGAAAAAAAGAACAAGCATTCCGAGACAAGCTGATCGTTCCGGGTGTGATTTAAAGAGATGGTGCTCGTGTCTCGAAAATATCCCATCATCCTTTGCTTGTGATTTATTCAAAGCGATTATAGAAAATTTTGATGTTTTGGAGTAATAAATCAATGTAAATTAATTGTTAATCCGTGTTTAATCTGTTTTTCTTCAGATAGATCGATTATGCTTTCGATGTGATGTTCTTTTTTTTATTATTTATATAATTTTATATACTAGATAAGTTTGAGCTTGTTAAAAAATGTTGGAGATTATATAAAACTTTAAAAAAGTCATTCAACAACTTTATATAAGGATGTTGATTCTGTTTCGTTAGCAAACAGATAAATTGAGAGAAAAAATTTAGAATCGATATTATAGCGTCGATAAAAGTTGGAGCAACTCCAGTTCGAGTCTTCTGCCGGATACACAATCAACTACTAGTGAGAACTACTAGGATTTCTCGAGACCAATAGCGTCACGATTTGTGCTTGGAAGGTTGGGAGCAATGCATGACGCGGAGTCATTGATTGGCCAGCCGTTATCTCGAAACCAAAGTACAAAACATCGCACAGCACATCGGCTGCATTCGATGAAAAAGTGATATACCGATTAAAAAACAACTGTTTTTTTTAACACGCGACAACGTCATCGAACTATTTGTCCATACATCTTCATCTCGACGTGAAGGCTGAAATTTTTGCCTTCCTGTCCATTGATTGGTTGCTCAAGGGGATGGCCCGTCAAGTCAGACCCCGGCGTAGGGTCATATTGGCGAAAGTTGGCAGAATCGACAGTGAATTGCACCAACATCGATCCCGGAAACGTGTTCACGTTGCGAGTAATAAAGAACGCGACAAAGTCTATACGATTACTTACTCGAAGATTAAACGAACTCGGGAGGTTACTGATAGGCGCCGGCAGGATAATTTCACGACTTTGCTCCGTATGTTCGCAACCGAGCACGATGTGGGCACTAACGCCGGGTCTCCAGTGCGTCGAAGACAGGAAACGCCGCCGCCATCCACTACCACGACGGTGGCGGCGGCGGGCGTCCACGAGACGTGCGCTGTGGCTTGTGCGAAGATGCAAACGAATGCGCAATGTGTCTCGTGTGCACTAAGCTTCAAGCGGCCAGATGTGACGAGGCCGGCCGGCCGGCCCTCTCTCTCTCTCTCTCTCTCGCTCTCTCACTCTCCGTTTCCCTGCCCCTCGTTCTTCCGCTCGTAAAGGTCTTAGGTCGCGAGCTCTACGGCCTAGCCATCTCCCTTTAGGGTGACTTCGACCAAATCTCGATTAATTTAATCAGTGATTGATTCAACCGGCAAAATTGTTTACAAAGCAAAATTTTCAACTATATATTCCGTTGCTCCTGATCTAATTTTGTTTTATATATTAACGACGAATTCTTTCTAATTAACTAAAGTTGTCCTTGATCACCTTTTTCTTTAACCCTAGGGCTGCACACACGGGGACCCCAATGGATATCCAATGAAAATTTCAAACCGCCAGCTTCTTTAGGAATTTTTTGTTTGAATGTTTGTACTTGACGATTTAGCGAGTGACTTTAATTTTATGATTGACAAGCGTAAATTTTGATTTTGTAATTATTTGCAATTATTTAGTTTTGAAAAAAGAAACGTCGAAAAACGTAGATGGTTATGTTTTTTTTATTAAATTATGTGTTATAGATAGTCTGAGAAAGTCTGAAAAAACGCACGGAGTAGTCCACGTATAAAAAATGTGTGCAGTCTTAGAATTAACTGTCCAATCAAAGTAAACAGTACAGCAGTAAACTTCTGAATGTTGAAATAGAGCGATAGCACTCCAGATACGTTCTTTTTATTTCGAGTCTTTGGCTTCTCTTATCAAAACCTGGCGAGTGTGGTGCCACAGTTCTAGCCCGACATAGCGCGCAATCAGCTGTTAACATCGATCGAAGGCCACGCGTTGCCGCCGGCGTTCTCGCGTCGTCGATTGTCAGAGAATTCTCGATTCCTTCTCGAAAGAGCGAGACCCCAGGAAAAGTGTCCCATCGTGCGATAACGACCAATGGCGCGTGAGCGGAGGGAAGCGATGCCTTTCTATTGGTGGAACTGTCAAATATCGCGCGCCTCGATCATTTTCGTCGCACGTTTTCGAGAATCGAGGTCCGTCCGTTTCGCCTTTTCGCGTCCGAGAAACGCACATATTTGGGCGAGAAAAAAAAAGAGGAAGGAAAAGTCCGAGTGCAAAGTGCAAGCAAATGTAGGAACCTCCGAGCTGCCTTCATTCACGCAACGATATATCACTCGCTCTCGTCCGATCGCTCGCGTTTTCTCCTTCGCGCCACCCTTACGTCAATCGAGAACCGTATTCGCGGAATCTCGAGAAACTCGATCTCGTGCCGTATCGCTGATAAATAACGAGAATCGAAGTCACGGCCTCGTGCACACCGACTCGCTCGCCCACTCCTTTACGTACGCACGGTACGCACGGTACGCTCGCACGCACGCACGCACGCACGCACGCACGCACGCACGCACGCACGCACGCACGCACATGCATGCCGGTTCGACGCGTCACCGGTGAGAGATACTCACGCAAGCACATGCATGCCGGTTCGACGCGTCACCGGTGAGAGATACGAGTGCTCGCACACACGAACACGAGCACACGTATGCACGCGTACGTGAGCCATCGCGTCGCGACGAACTCGTTTAAAGAGCCAAGACGACACCGGCGGATCCCTAGTAAGGTGCGTTACCGGCACGTCATATAAAGGAGCGGCGCGATCGCGCACTGCTCCGGATACGTTTCCCCGAAGATGCTCCCCCGACGCATCCTGGCCGCGAAGCGAAACTCAAACGTTCTACCGACGAGGGTGGCGAATCGAGGAAGGGCAAACGTAAATCGTCGCGCGAGTCGACCCGGGTGCTGACCTGTTGGCGCGTAAAACTGAGTTTCTCGCTAGGAAGTCGCCAACAGCCACCGCCGCTGATGACGACACGCCGATGATGTCGATCTCGGGCGAGAAAGAGAGACGGAAGTAGCAAGTCGGCGCGAAGAGGTGTGATGCGTCTCCGCTCTCTCTTCCTCGCTCTCTCGCCAGCGTTTCCGTTCCCTCCTCCTCTCGGCTCGCTCCCGGTTTTTTTGCTACTTACTTGGCTGCTCGCGAATGTGTGCGCTGCGCTGCGCCGCGCCGCACAGTATTTTGAGACGGAGACCCGCGCTCTCTTCCGGGAGAAGATTCAGCAGGCCAGCACACGGCACGCGGCGCGTGTCGCAGGACGGTTGGACCCGGGCATCCCCCAGTCCGGGTGGTCTCTCGATCCCGGCGATCCCGGCACTCGAGAGAGAGATATGGCACAGAGGAACACCGCGGCTAACGGCAAAATCGTGCCGGACGGAACGAACGTGTGCCTCGAGGACGACGACAGACGGATCGTCAAACGTGCCCTTCCTCGTCAGCCCGTCGCGCCCTCGAGATGTCTACCTCGGATTATCGCTCGCTCACCCTTTCCCTCCGTTCCTTCAACGTGGTTGTAATCGTCGCCGTCGTTGCGGCTTTACATATTCTCGCCGTACTTTGCGCGATTTCTCCCTCTTACTCTCCCTGGCATACGTCGCTCTTTTTCTTTCGAGGTCGCTCGTTTCCACGAGCGTGTTGCTGCTGCTGCTGCTGCTGTTGCTCGTGCTAGAATACGGTGTCCATTTTCTGCGCGATCCGATGCCGCCACCACCGCCACGGTTACGCTACGCACAGGCGGGTCCAAGTAGGCAGCAGGTAGCCAAAGACGAACCAGGCGATTCCTCGCACGACGGAAGGGGCGCTCGTCGTTCCAGAACAATACGCTGGATCGAGAACGTTACGGGCGTTTTTCACTGTCTGGAATACAGCGTGGCTCGAACCTTAGAGCAAGCCCCGCCTCGGCATGTTCGGCTCGACTCGACTCAGGCCGACCAGGAGGCCGGCGAGCAAGGAGAAACGAACCTTTTCTCTCTCTCTCTCTCTCTCTCTCTCTCTTCTCTCTTTCTCTCTCTCTATGCGTGTTCTCGTTGCGTCGCGCGTACGTATGTACGAGGCCGGCACGCAAGAAGATCCGGACGATCGGTCGGGGTTCGCTCCTTCCTTCGACTGAATGTATGGACGAAGGCCCCCGGGCACCGTGGCGCGCTGGCACGACTGGCCGATTCGGGTAACGAGAAGCGGACAGAGTGTGCCGCGTGCGCCGGTGCTCGCGAGATGCCAAGAGAGGGAACGAGAGAGAAAGAGAGAGCCAGCAGAACGGAGAACCAGCCGCGTGTCCGTGCGTATTCGCGAACGTCTACGGGAGGTGGATTGGGAGAGGGGGGAGGGAAAGACGGGGGAGTCTCTCTCTCGCGAGGTGGTGTACCGGCTCTCCGCGCCACCAGCTGTGTGTCGGTGTATATGCGAGACCACACGTCGGCACCGTCGCGTCGCGTCGCGTCGTGTCGCGCGGCGCCGCCGCCGGCGCGTGTATGCGGTGTGTGTGCGATGCGATGCGATGCGACCCGACCGCGGAAAAGCGCGGCACGCATGCGTCGCAAGCCGTTAAACGTGCGTACGAGTCAACGAGCGCGAGAGAGGAGGGAGAGAAAGAGAGGGAGAGAAAGAGAGAGAGAGAAAGAGAAAGGGAAGGAGAGGCACGACGACGCTTCCGAATGTATGCGTGAACGAGTCGCGGTACGTAGCTACGTTGGTGGCGGATAATATCGTGATGTTGGTGCGCTCTCGCTGCATCTCTCGCGCGTGAAGCCTTCACGGAAGATTACGTCGGAAAAAACGACGAGTTTCGTAACCAATGGAAATCTCTTTCTCTCTCTCGCTCGCTCGCACGCATGCTGTCTCACTCGGCGTTCGACAGGCGACACTTTAAAGCGACTCGACGCGAGGCCGTTATACTTACCGGAATTAGGGCAGCTCCACGGAGTTGTCCTCGGCGGCACGGCACTCGGTGACGATTCGACGGGCAGGCTCGGACGGGCGGAAGGCACTTTTGCGGACCGAGGAGGTGTCCGGGACGCGTTCGCGTTTCACGCGATGACAACGCGTCGTTCCTCGCCGCCTTTCATAAGTGCGCGCGCTTCCGAGCGGACGGCGCGGCGACACCCTCGCCGTAGCGGTAACGGCAATGGTCGATTCTCCGTGTGCGTGTCGCGGCGGCGTGTCCGTGCGTGTCCGTGAGCCGGCGTACCGGCCATCTGCCGGTCGCACGCGACAGCTGAAATACGCGCGCCAAAACCGTCGTCGCGCCGCGCCGCCGCCACCAGCTTCGTGTGGCTTCGTGTCGCGTTCACCCGATATTGCGGACCGAGCTTTTTCCAGATGATATCACGACATTTGCACAACACGCGGATCCCCGCGAGCGAAGCTACTAATAAGATACTCTAACGAATACGACGCGCCCGATAATCGCTCGATAATGTCGACCGATTATTATCGCGATTACGAACGCGTCCCGTGTCGTTTCACGCGCGTCATCGCGTTTCCTCGAGAATCCTCGTCGAGATCGTCGGCCAGGAATCCGTCTCGGCGAGCGTCGGCGATCGTCGCGCGCCTTCACCTGGTTTACCCGCCAAAACTCCCGCCGGCTGCTCCACGGTCGAAGGACCGACAGCCGAGTGGCGAGAACGGCTATTTACCGCGAAATATCCTCGCAACCGCTCGTCTCCTCGTCCTCGACGACGTCGCAGCACCGGTTATCCACTTTCGGTACTCTCGCAAGCATTCCCGCGTTTCCGAAGCGCACTATTACCATACCGGTCCGCCATGCTCGGGGGTGTTGGCGAACAAAGTGAGTCTCTTCTCGTTTTCCTTCTTTCTCTTCCCCTCCCTTCCCTCCCTTTTTCCCGTCCCTTTCTCTCTAAACGCCGACGGATACCGGGTCCCTTTAATCCGGGCCTTCTTAAGGCAAGAGGATCCAGGGGGGACGGAGGGGCAACGGACACGACGTTACGCAGGCAGCACTCGCGAATTATGCAATTTAGTGACGTATTAATTTGACAACGATCGTACAAGCGCTTACGTACGCACACGCGCCTTCGACTGCCTTCGACGATCCTGCCGGACAACTGATGCCCCTCGTTTCTTGCCTGGTCTTGCCCGAAACTCCGTCGTACGATCGTCCCTTCCTTCGCGAATGGAGGGGCATTCAGCTGCAGGGATGTAGCGGGACGAAAGGCGAGCAGGGCCCCTCCCGAGAATGTCGAAAACGCTACGAGAAAATCGATGGACGAGACAGGAACAAAATTGTCACCGGCAAAAAGTCGCACTTTTTTATTGCAATTTCATCACCGACGGTCCCCTTTATCACAATTGAGACTCGATCGCCATCTCGTAAAAATCGCCTAGCGCGTAAAAATACAATGCAATCGCGCCAAATAGACCCTACGGTGTACGTTTCATAGGAAAACTGGAGTTTCTCGTACAAAAAAATAATAGATTATATTTTTTAGACATCATTTTCTCAAAAGATGAGAGAATGGCTTGGTTCAATTTTTTTCAATTAGTTTATATCACAATACATACTCGTGTTGCATATACAATAGAATATAATTCTACTGGATGACTGTACATAGATTTGAAACGTGTATAATATCAAAGAAGTAGCGTTAAAACGATACTATACCTTGCTAAAATATCAACAAAAAGCTATGACCTACATTTAAAATTAATCAGTTTTTTTCATTTTACCGCTGATAGCTGAAACATAAAATTGAGTGTACGTGCGATAAGTATTAGTCAAATCAAAATACATATATCATAACAATTAATAAAGCGCGTTAAAATGTTAGTTTAAATTGGAAAAAATGGGCTTTACTTTAATGACGCATGCAGATTATTGTGCGTGTAATCAATTTACCAATGGTGTCTTGTACATTTTTCTCGCTTTCCCGCATGATCATTGCGAAAGAGATGTGTAGTGAGAAAGTTAAAGGAGAACCGTAGTTTAAAGGCAATAGCTGGAGTAGAAAGACTCGTATTGATTATATTTTGTAAACAACATTGAATAAGTAAAAAAAAAAAAAAAAAAAAAATACAGGTAACATCGATAATAATAAAAACTCGCATGCATTTCTTATAACAAACGGCTAATCCCTTGCTTTTTTTATTGCGCTTTGCCGGGAGTTCGAGTAATCTTAGTACACGCCTGAGTCAAGTCGACCCAAGAAGAAGGGGGGCCCGGTGCATTCTTCGTAACGTATTTATTTGAACCCTACGGGACAAGTACAAAAGGATCGCTCCTATGTAGACCGTAGGGGAGGAATACGGTTTCCCTTCTTGCCCTTCGGCTACCTTTCCCTACTTTTTCCACGGGCCACCCGTTCAAGCTAAGTAACCCCCCTTTTCTTTCCCACTACTTTTTTGCTGTTAGAGCATTACCAGAAAGTTGTGCAGCAAGATATCGTTGAGGTACGTGTGCAGTGCGATCGACGGGCGAGGGTAATATCATATATCGACGATCACGAAGATTTCGGGCCGCTCCACCTGCGGGCGATCGTTGATCTGCATCGCCGAATACGTGATGGCCTTTACCTCTGCGCCTTGCGTGTGTTTGCCAATTGTGAACTCCTCGCCGTACGCGGTTGCCTTGATTTTAAACCCTTCTCGGTCGAATTCGGTAATCTTGACTTTCTGGTGACAGACGTGCGGAGAGATTTTCACCTTTGGCTTTGGATGCAGACGCGGTAAGTTTCGCGATCTTCGCGGTCCAACCGAAAGGACTATTTGACGATATTTTCAAATTCGTGCGAATAAAATATGTCATAATTGTATGAATTAATTAATACATAATAATATTACTTATAATTCAAGCAAAAGAACAAATAAAATATTAAGGAATTATTTTTAATAAATAGCAAAGGTGGAGTCTTCAATATTTCATGTAGAATATAAAATTCATATACGAATCATACAATTATATTTCTGTAACACATTGTATATAACCCTATAACTATTATCAAAAGTTGGATGTTACCGTTATTGCTGTAATGGTAAATTATTAGCATATATCTATGTTGACCGCAAAAAAATATCGCAACAAAGAAATTTTACCTTGGCGATTATATACGGCTCGGCGCTAAACATAAAGAGCAGCTCGTCAAGAAAGTGGAAGAGTAGACTCTCCATGTCGTCACCTTCGGCCTCGATGTGGTGCACCTGTGCGACCTGCACGCGCTCGAGATCCGTCATGTAACCGAACATGGCCATCGCGCATTGCTCGAAAGCCTCCTCCATGGTGTCACCCCATGAATGCAGTCTGAAACATAATCGGTGATTTACATATTGCCGAATCAATCTCCGTCGCAAACAAGCCTTTAAACGTCTATCGATTTCCGCACAATTGCGCGCGCGCTTTTTTAGGTTAGCCGGCGAAGTAACCTTCAAAATTAACCGGTCAACTAAATGCAATACTTACTGTACGTCCGCGGTATGATCCAGATCTGTAACAGAAAACGTGGATTTTTTCGTGAATATTTTTAAGACTGTGGCTGCGAGAGATTCGCGTCATATTTCGGAAACTTTGCGTCAGTCATGATTACGAGGTTAGAATCCGTCGCGGGCGAAGATGCGCCAAGGTACATGTCGACAGATGAAATATTTGCGAGAAAAGAACGAATGAAACGGTGATATTAGAAAAAAACCCGCGATTGATACTCACACTCGTATTTGGCGGGCGGTATTTCGAGATCCTCGCTCGCCAGTTCGTCCATGTCGCGCACAGCTGATTCTCTTCCACGTAATGTAAGGCGATCAGCTGATTCACTGACGGGTTCAATCAACGAAACGTAGTTCATGTAGGTGAGTTCACGCCGACCAGATGGCGCTACTTACAAGCGAACTTGAGCGCTTAGCGGTCACATGGAGTAACACGTGGCTCCGTGTGAGAACGGTCGATTCATTCGACAAATTCCGGATTGATTCTAATTCAAATAGCATGAAATAACAGGCCTGTTCTTTTTGGCTGAACTTTTGCACCAGTTCAGCCAAAAAGAACAGGCCTATGAATCAACATTTTTTAAATATTTCAATAAAATATTTTAAAACTATTTTTAAAATGTTGTATAAATATTGTAAGAAAAAAAATATATTTAAAAACTCTGACTTCCTGGACATATTAAATTTTAAAAATATTTCATGAAATGTTTCATTGAAACACTCCTGAAATATTTCTGAAATATTTCATGTTGTATGGGATAGAATTTAGATATATATCAATATATATTATAAATTTATAAAACATATATTAATGATATGGAATATGATGGAAAACGGAAATGCGGAATAACAAAAGGAAAAAATGAGAAAGGTGACGAAATGTCCAATTAACTGACACAATAAATACTATTATAAGTATATATATATATATACAATACACCTAAAAGTTTATTTTTTACTTTTCTATATGGACAGATAAAAATTTATCTTGCATAAATCAAATTTTTATCTGTCCATATAAAAAAGTGAAAAAATAAATTAAAAAATAAACTTTTTCATAACTATTTTTTTCTATTGTCATATAGATCAAGTTTTTTTCCGTTCTACAACGAGAAATGTAAACCATCAGAAACATATTCAAAAAGATAAATTTAATATATGTCATAAACGGTGTTTACTATAATTACATAACTCTTATCAGGAATAACTTATTGTCGCGGCTATACAAATGGTATATTTTTGCAGGAAAGAGAGGTTATAAATAGCACATTGTCACACAATTATCTTTAACGGTCACGCGGTCATATTCATTATTCTCTTTATACTATACTCAAGTGACTGCAAGTTGCTGCAAGTTCAAGATAATAAATCGAATATCTTCCACTATGGCAAATAAAATGAAGGTAAAAGAATTTTAATTTTAATCACACACTTTATAGAAATACATTGACATCACTTGAAGGAGAATTTCTGGATTCTTGATTCACATGTCATACATTTTTTAATTATTTGCATATTTGTATCGACTAACCTCGAAAATATTATAAGTGTTTAATTTCGAAAATCACTCGAAACAGATGTCTGTGATGTATTACGTTATGTTATTAAATTTTACATATTATGACACAAGAACATTTTTTGCATGAATAATATATAGTAATTAATATACATATAAGAGTAGATATATTAAAGTATACATATTAAAGTGTAATTCTAATGAAAATACAATAAAAGTGTAATTCTAATATATATATATATATATAATATAAATCTAAATATATGTAGAACTGTTATTGATATTTTTTTAATTTTTTAGGTGGGAATAATATGTGGCTCGGGTCTGGGTGATAGCTTAAGCAAAACATTCAATTGCAACAGTACCACAAGTCGCGAGAATGCAAAGAATGATTTTGGATATCCATCCAGTGATCTCTACCATGGATGCATTGATGGAATAGATATAGTGTTATTGGCCAGGTAGAATTCTTTATAAATCCTTAGACTCTTGTAACTATTTCTAAAGCCTGCAATCTAGGCTTGTATTTTATTTTGCCTTTTACTACAAGAATAAACGTTTCTGTTCATTTAACAATGTTTGATTCATGTTTTGTTCATTAATAAAAATATTTTCTTCTCTTAATTCAATATAGACATGGCACAGGACATGTGTTCAGTCCTACTGGAGTTAATTACCGTGCTAATATAGAAGCATTGCGACTTGCTGAATGTACCCATATACTGGCATCTACTGCATGTGGATCGCTAACAGAGGCTATTGGTAGGGGACAACTAGTCGTGCCTGATAGCTTCATAGATAGAACTATTTCCAGGAAGGGTACATTCTATGATGGAACATCTGCCAAGTATAGTGGTAAATATATCATGTATTTCTTTGTTTTATAAGTATAATTTTTAAAATGTTGCCTTCATTCAAAATTATAGGAGTATGCCATATGCCGATGGAGCCTGCATTTGATCCGCGAACATCGGAAATCTTATTGCAAGCAGCAAAAAAGTTGGGATACAACATAAGGAAGGGTGGGACAGTAATAACTATTGAAGGACCGCGCTTTTCATCTAAAGCAGAGAGTAACGCTCTGCGTCTTTGGGGTGGACATTTGGTCAACATGACTATATGCCCAGAGGTTTAAATATTGCAATAAATTTATACACATAAGATATATATATATATATATACACACAGGGTGTTAGTTAAGTATGTTGCCATACTCAACAGAGCGATTCTTTGTTTATTTCAAGTAAAAAAGTCCATGTAAACATGTGTCCTAAACGGCTTAGTTTCTGAAATAAAAAAATTTAAACGTGTAGTAATAATCTGTTTATTTGAAAGAAATACAGCTTGAATTAGTCAAAAACTAGTCAAAAACAGAAAAAAAAAACAGACTTCAGTTCTTCTGATGAAATAAAACAATTAGATGAATTGTTGAAAATGTCCACCTTGCGCCATGATACATCCATCGAGTCTTCTTCTCAAAGATTGACGTACACGCTCAAAGATCAGAATTGAAGTCTATTTTCGATTTTGTGACTTTGACTTTGTCACTTTGTTTACGGTTGTGCGAATGGTAACTGATGTGAAGCAAGGCATATTTATGCAGGAAGATATCTCCAACGCAATTTACCGTTTTGTCAAACATTTGCGAACATTCACCTATATTTCGGAAACTAAGCCGTTTAGAACACATGTTTATATGGACTTTTTTTACTTGAAATAAACCAAAGAATCGCTCTGTTAAATATGGCAACATGCTTAACTAACATCCTGTATATATAATACTGTTATATAATGTTTATATTTTGGCCCGAATTAGGTATTCCTAGCGAAAGAAGCAGGTCTTTTATACGCAGCTGTAGCCATGGCGACTGATTATGATTGTTGGAGAGAATGCGAAGAGAATGTTCATGCAGCTGACGTATTAGTTGTGTTCAAACAAAATGTTCATAAAATAACAAATGTGTTACTAGAGGCAGTGAAACTTATTGGCTGTGGAGATTGGGAGCAGGATATTTTTAAATTGAAGGTAATATTTGTTATTAGGAATTATTTGTGCATACAAATAATATAGATATTTTTTCTAAACACATACTAGCGAACAATGATAAGAGAAATAATTTTCAGAACTTAATTGAGAGCAGCAATGTGACTGTAAAGAAATAAAGTTTCTACTTGCAAAGTGGAACGAAGAAACCATGCCTATATATATATATATATTATATAATCATAACTACATAATATCGAATCTAAGATGTATAAGATTTCAATGCCTTTGTAAAGTTCTTATATATTCCACGCAGATACAAATCTTTATATTGTTCATACAGAGGACTATTATACAAAGAACCAATTTATTTTACGATATCACTTTTATAATCGCTAAGTCTTTATAAAAACATTACATAAAATTATGTTATGTATACTGTTGTAATTCTATGTACTTTACCTTTCACATCCTATAAAACGTTTTATCGGGATGTGTATTTTGTTGCACTGTAATTAAATGGTATAAGCATTTAATCATAGAGTTGCAATTCAGTTTAATCTAATTACACACATATGCGTACATGATCATATGCAAAAAATCAAAGGAGTGATAAAAGGATTAGATTGGTATTACATAGTTGGAGATTTAGTAACGAGCGTGTAAACAAAAGATGCTGACAAGTAAACTTAATATTTATTATCTACACAATTACATTTACCTATACAATTCGCAAAAGTCAATTGACTGTATTATCATTTCTTTAAACGTATCTACATAATTGAACTGCCAATATACATATATATTAGTTTTCCTTTTTTATTATATGCCAGGCTTCTTTATGTAGACTTATGGAGCAGACAACATTTAATCAGTATTGTCATCAATTTCTGCTAGTGTGATTTATACTTAATTAAAACATTATACATTGGTCTGCATTTTACAATAATCTTGCAACTCAAAATATAATATGAAACCATGGACTTTATACACGGATTTTTCTTATGTACAAGCAATTTACATTATGATCAGTATGAGAAATTAAGCTTGTTTTAACAACATGAAATTATTCTTCAGAAAATATATCTTTATGATATATGTCTATAATAATAACATAATATTGAGTTAGGGAAAGTCTTTTTACAAATTGGTAAAAAGACTTTTAACAACCCACATATTCTATTTAAAAAAAAATAGTAATTTACCATTTTTGATAGAGCAACGTTTCAGCTTTAAGAATCTGCATTTTTAATTGCAATATGATGATTTTTAATGGAGTTATGAGCAATAAAGTCAAAATGTTCCTATTTACTTAATTCGTGAGTAAAACTCAGGAACAAAAAATCGTAGGAACATTTTTAAAAAACGATTTTGTAGGAAAAACTTCAAGCTTTCACGAGATAGTCGAAAATTTACTCAAATTTTTTTAGGCATGCTACAGACCTACAAAGTGAAAAAAATTTTTCTTTTTTTTTCAGTTCGTAGTTTTTCTATATGTAAAAATTACAAAATTCACAAATTCAAAAACTATAGTAATCATTCGAAAGTAGAGATTTCAAGCTTTAAAACTCTTTTTTAAATTTCAATGTTGATCATTTTTAACGAAGATATTGATGGATCTTTTTACCAACTTGTAAAGAGACTTTTTCCCTAATTCAATGTATTCACAAAGGAGATTTATTTTGTGCAGTTTCTAACGGTGCTAAATCAAAAACAACTAAATTTAATTTACAAATGGAACAATTGATTTAAAAAATATAGCTTGCATTTTTTCAAGTAATTACAGTCAAGAATGAATTTATATTCGATAATATAAAAAAATCGATTGTTTTCTTGCAACTCGAATTTTACAAAATAGAGATTTGAAAAACGTTTTTATTAGTCGTTTTTTTCGATAAATTCGCTGTTAGGATAAAAATACCTTCAATCTGTTAAAATATTTAGGCTGAACGATGATCATAATATATATATGTATATATGTATTTCAATTGAATGGTTCATGTAATATATTAAAATTCTTATACTTTCATGATAACATGACAATTACAGACAATACGTAATATAATCTGCAAATATTACGCGCGTATGAAATGTGTTTTTGTAGTTCATAAATTTGTTTGAAGCAATAAAATATACTATAAGAATACATTACATGAAACTTCTCTTAATATTCAACAATAAGATATCCATTTTTTCTAAACTGTGGTTAACAATTTGTTAAATATTCACATGACACACTTGGTGTGAATGCTTTTTACATGATGTAACAAGATGTGTGTATATATTTTTTCTTCATAAGTCTTGATCTTTTATACATTAATGGAAAGATCAGCTCTTTACTTTTATATTTAACAGATTAATGAATAATAAGATTGCTTCGTGGCAATTCTACTTAGAAACGCTATACATTTTTATGTCACAATAACGTGTAAAACATGTTGTGCTGTTTCCAAGTATATCAAGAAGACATACAAGTCGAAAGCATACAATTGATGGTATTTGCCTGAGAATCCTTATTATCGTCTATAACTTCACTTGATTTATATTTAATACTTGAGGGCAATATGTATAAGGGAATGCATAAACTCTTATGCACAGTTCCGAGCAATATTACAGTTTATACATCGTTCTAATTTCATCGATTTAGAAAAATAACTATTTCTGAAAAAGACTATGTGACAATTTTCTCCAATTGTAGCAAATCACGCGATTCGTGATTAAATGAAATAGCTACGGAAAAATCGAAAGAAGTTTTCTGGGAATGCAGTATTCTTTTTACATATTAATACAAGTGAGACTTGTACGCACCTGCCACTAGATTCCTGATGTAATAGAATTATATCATCTGGATAAATAAAAGGAAGTACGACGTTCAGGAGAAAAAAGCAGACTCTAATTAGACCTTACTATCAACCATATCTACGTTGATTTTGTAATAGACATACGGGAAGTAATCACTTTGGCCAAAACCTAGTCCTGGTATATCCACATTCTATTCAAATTAAAATATCATATAAATACAAATATTTTCTGCATAAAGAAGCATATTCTTTGATCTCGTATATATTTCTCGTATATAATAGATATTTTCAAAAATTGATTCAAAACAGTAATATTTATTTACAAAAATGACAGAAATAAAGTTTCAAAATTATAATTAAACAGTAATCTATTTTTAATAATACAGTACAGTAATTATGACATCTTTACTTACATCTTGATTGTGCGCTGTTGAAGCGGTAGCAGATGAATCTAAGTGAGCATAAAGCTGATTTAGAGCGTCACGTAATCTCCTCGCGCATTTCTTATGCGGGTGCAATAATATTGCTTGGAAATTGACAGGTAAGCCATATCTATAAATCATACATATTACAATATGTGACATTAATATAACACCGTATTTTTTTTCGATAAAACATTAATATATATATATACATTACCTAAGAACGGATTCAACAAATACACGCAAAGCTTTAACATGAATCCAAGCACAAAAACATTCACTAAAATTCACTTTCAACCAACGGACAAGTGGTCCAAATTGCTTCTTTTTATCAGTTACCAACTTTGTAATTTCATTCTTTCCTGCAATGAGATGTAATGTTATGATAAATTTTATTCTTTGTAAATAGCTTAGCTTTTAAAGATGTTTAATATATATATCAAATTTGTGTTGATTTCTAAATTATTACTATACTATCCCATGCAAATTATAAAAGATTTCAATATTATAACAAACCTGCTGCTAATTCCTCTTCATTATATATAAAATCTCGCACAATAAACTTCTTTTCACGAGAGTGCAGTTTAAACTCATCCATTACTTTTTTAAATAAAGTAACCGTGAATAATCCGTATTCAGAATCCTGAGTAATAAGTTGTGTACTGCGCGGTACAATCATATCTGTCAGTTTTTCATAACAACCGTACCATTCCTGAAAGTTGGATCTAAAAACACAAGATACACATAGATGCCAGTTTATCTAATTCAATGATCTAATATAATATATGACAACTTTATAACAACTTTAGATATGTGTCAAAAGAAAGCTGTAAATGTATTTACTCACTTCGGTACAATGACGAGCAAAGTAGTTAAATATTCGCTGTCCAGAATAAAGTGTTCTTTTTTTACTAAGTCTGCTAAATTTCGCGTTAATAAACTCCCCCTGGTGCAGATGAAAAAATTACATAGTGATATTTACATAATTGTCTATTGCATTCAAATCAAAATGTATCAAACTTACGTCTGTTTCTTTTCTAAATTTTGTAAGCTGCCTTTCAAATTGTTATATATCGTGGATTTAGTTTTTAGATCAGCATCAATCTGTCCCACTTGTTTACTGATAATATCCGCAATGTTCCTCAAAGATTGTTTGATGGGGTATTTAGCCATGTCCCACTGGAATCGAGTTATATATGATGGCAGATCACCTAGTAAATTTTAAATATTAATCCAATTGTTTTTTGAGACAATAAATCTTGATAAGCAATTTCGTAGTCAGAGCTTTAGAAAATATTTCTACATTCTTCAGCGCATAATCAACAGCAAGTATAAGCTCTACAGGTATAATAAATGTAAAATTTTTAAGAAACTTTAAACAAATTCAATATTGATGTATTTCTTAAGCTCTGCATATATTATTAACATATACAAATGCTTGACATGTATTTTTTTATTATAAATAAATTCAAACGTTATTTGAAATAATATTATTAAAAGAATATTCAAAATAATGAAAAAAAAAGAAAAAATGATTTTCACACAAGCAATTTCTTGATTTTACAATGCTGCTTATTCATCATTAGCATTACAAGAAAGAAGCAGGACATACACAGAGTACATCATGCAATCCACAATAACCAAATCCATAAACAAATTTTATATTTATTTTATATAAGAATTTTTTTTACAAAAATGTAATTATTTGATATTATTTACACAAAATTTTAATTTTATGTAGATATTTATAATACAGAAATATATAATAAATATAAATTATAACTATATAATAAAATTTTTAATTAATAATCTCTTTGCAATCAATAACTTTTATATTTGTATATATTTGTACATGCAGATCTTAGCTTGAAAAACCGTATTGTCTTTTGCATTTGTCACTATATCTTATTAACTACATTGTAAAAATTTGTGCGTTGATTTAATTAGACAAGATAAATCCTCATTACACATGCACATGTATCTGTATGAATTTATGTATATTAATTTTATAGAAAATATGATTAATTCTAAATATAATTTATTCTTTTTTGCAATTATCTGCATTATTTTCTTATATATTCTTGAGTAAAGTTATGTTTTTGTTCATACATATTAAATGAATTTGAAGAAATTTTAGCATAATGCGTATATGCGTCTGTATTAAAAAAAAAATGTTTATATACATTTGAGAAAAAAAACATATATTAAATATAATATATCTAAGTCACGAAATTTTTCGAAAAAATTTGTATTTTAACTGTATAAACTAATATACCTTTCTCTGCACGTTTCCTCTCAGGTATATATGTAGACTTTTATTACTAACATATATGATTAGCCATCGCAAATTAATGTGCAACATAATGCAATATAATAAAATAAGCGAAATAGCCAAAATAAAGAAGCGGTTCGTGATAATTGATTAAATGCATAAAATGGTAACATATGTAATAGTACATTATTCTATTGTCTTAAATGGATATATATATATATATGATATGGTTCCTATAACTCTTATACTATATAAGAGCATATAAATTACATACGAAAACTATAAAGCGCATTTGTTTCTTATTAAGTTTTATTTCAATAATCATGCAAAGTAATATTAACTATAAATTCATGTACCGATCGATAAATATTTGTTAGTTCCTATTAATGCTATTGTTGTGCTAGTGCTGTGATCTGTGCTATCTACAATACCATTGTTTTGTATATGTATTATCGTCTGTGCTTATAATGTGATTCTTTTACTAAAATTATAATTATTAAAATGGGAATTAAAGATTAATATTAGGAGAACAAAAATATAATTTAGGATGAAATGATTGGAGTGGAGTAAAAACGTGTAAAAGATTTCTGGGTACATTTAAGTGTCAAGTAACATTTCTTTCGTCATTTCTCCTTTTTGTGTCGTTTGCTTTCCTGGATTTGTTTCAGTTGTGTCCTATATATACACGCGTAAACGATATCAAACATAAATGATAGCATATGTATATAAATATATATATTTTATTTTATATATATTATTGACAAAAGTTGCTATAATTTATAAATGACAGCAAAAGCGATACACGAAAGCTATAGAGAAATAAAAAAGAGCAAAATTAGGAGAAGAAGCTAAATTGTCTGGTGGATAACTAGATTATGTACAATATACAAATCGATCCACCAAAAATGGGATATCGAGCTTTTATATTAATATAACGGTTAATATAACGGTTATGTAAAATTGTAATATAATTATACATAACCAACATAGAGGAAGGAAGAGTGAAGACAAACGAGCCAAAAACCAAAGATATATCAGCGGAATTTCTTGAAGAAAATCAATTGTGAAAAAAAGATATGCACACTCACACATCATAATCAGGATGTGCTACGGAATGATGAATTTTCCCTTTAATAGCTTCTGGTTTATTAATCATTCATTAAATAAATTCAATTAGAAAACGTCTTTTATTACAACCTTAAAAAAGATGTATTGCTTTCATTTTAAATATATTTATTTCAAAAGAGAGATTGTCATATATTTTTGTCGTTTCCTTACTACTAAAAGATTATGTTTTTTATATTTTTATTTATATAATCAAAATATATTACGTGATTAAGATAGTAATTTTAATTAAAATAATGTAAAAAACAAATCAACAATAAATAATTTCTCCTTATTAAAATGAGGAAATTAGAAAGATGTTATATATATTTTCATAAAAATTTTATAATGATATGTATGTATATACAGAGATATGTAAAACGCAAAGTTGACATATTAAAGAAATAAATAGACTATAAGTGCACTTAACGTGCATTGTATTTACTATGTGATAGAATTTGAAACTAAAATAAATAGTTTCTTTTCTCTATCTATTTTTATTTCCAGACTTTTTCAAACGTGTTTTTACCATCCTATAAATTATAATAGGTATCTCTAATCTGACAATCTCTCTCCGTTTTTTTCAATTTTCTTGCATTTACTTCTCAAGAAAACATGATAATGATTCAGTCGCTAGATCATCGAGACACTTGGTGCACGGGATGAACAAAGCTTTGCAGCTATGTATCAAGAAGGAAGAGGACAAAAAGGAGAAGGATCTCGTATCGGCTGGCCAGTGGCAGGATGGGTACCTGGATTTGGCAAATTGCCACTATGGTCTTGGTCTTGGTCTTGATCGTTGTTTTGGTCCGCATCGTCGTTGTCATCATCACCTCCAACGGATTTGCGGGTAGATCGATCTGGATCTTTCTCGATGGTGGTCCGCGGACGTAACGGCTGCTGCCATCCAAGCTCTCCTTCGCTGCTACAGTTCGATGAGAGGGAAGAGAGGGTCGGACTCGCGGGAATGGGACTGGAGCGTGGCGTCGAGGGTACAGAAGCAACGCACCAATGGGCATGGTAGCATGAATATATCGATGAGGTATAGTTGTTGGTCTGAGTTTTGACATCACAGATGCTCTGAAGATCATACGACAGCTTCTTTTCGAACGCGGAGAAATGACCATCGTGATGTTTATGGGAGCTATGGTGATGATGGTGATGATGATGTTGATGATGATGCTGACCTAAAAAGGCGGCCGGCTCTGGTTCGGACTTGTCCAATTCCCTCCACTGCCTGTGATGCTCCATCGTAGTCTTGGGTGATGGTGTAACAGGGGTGTTTGGCGGGGTGTCCGGACCCCCTTCGGGGCTCGAGCTCTCCCCATCCATTGATGTTTGACCTATCCATTACAGCCCAGTCCCAATCTCCACGCGATCTTTTTTATTGTCTTGCTCAACTATTATTGTCTCCTACGCAAATGCCTAACGACAATGCTGACGAAACTGAATGAAAAACAACTCAAGAGAAGAAAATGTGGAGTATTTAGCGCCGATCATCTTACTTTAACTAATTTGAATGACAAAATTCAGATTCAAATGTTGATTTCAGTAGTAATTTCATATTGACTCATCAAACTCGACTGATGTTGCAAAATGTATGTAGATATAAAAATATAAGTAGCAATCTTTTGTAAAGTGAACGATACAATGTTCAATAACATTGCAAAACAATTTAATGCATCATCTAGTTACTAGTACTTTGAATACTCTTCTATAATATTTAAAATTTAGATGGTTCAGTGTAAATTATATTATATACATATATGATCAAAAGCTTTCTCCTTTGTGTGAACCGTCATAATTTCCTTACATTAATTTGATTGTTCAAAAAAGAATTTAAAATACATAAATTTCTAGTTTAATATGAAGTATGATTACATAAAATATGAAGTATGATTTCTCGTATTAATCATCTTATTAAACGTTAAATACTCCAATATAATGCGAAAATAAAATAGAAAAGACGAAGTAGAAAAACTAAGCAACAAAAGGAATATTCGAGAGAATATAATCGATAATATTCATAAAATGTATATACTGGAAAATAAAGAAGTAACAGTCATCGAGACTTGAAATTATATGGTGCATCGCAAACAGATAGTAATATGAAAGAAGGACTGATGACAACAGAACCAAGGAAAATGAAATCTTGTAGTGGCTAATTAGAGCTTGGTGACCACAGTAACCCAAGCAACTTCTTGCGTCCTGCGGAAAATTTTATCTGACACGCGTGGTGGTCTGGTAATTCCACAGATCTGTCCATATTTTGTTTCGTTTGTCTTTTATATGTTATCTTGTATATTATTCGTGTCTCGAGACGCATCTTTTTGCCTTTATACCTTAATACAAACTTTTGCGTAGTGCATATATACGGGCTTTTATTAATAAAATAATAAAAAGGGTGGGGAAACAGAGTTAATGTGGTCAAAGTTAAATAAAAGGTAAGCCAAGCAACATCACAAATTTAGAAATAAGACTGTCATAGATAATAAACGGAAACAACCAAACACATAAATAAGCATTCTACGAATATATCAACTATGTACTATTATATGAAGCATATCACATTAATAGGTAACTTATAATTAAATATACAGAGTGTTCCAAAATAACCATCAAATATTTCGTGTGCTGATAGAGCGTGTGCTGATTAAACTGACAATGAGTCAAAAAGTCCTCTATCATTTTGTAATTTTCGCAATAGTTAACAAGATATTAATTACTAAAAATTGCCAAATATTAGTCTTTAACAATTTTTTATTCAAGTATTATCAATTTTACAGAAAAACAGCAAAAGATAAAAATTGTTTATTTTCTGCTCATAAGGCTCTAAAAATTTTTTCAGAATTTTTTATCAACTTTTTAGTACTGCATTTTCTTATTGGCAATTATTTTTACCAAATCCGTATAACAAATCAAACTAACAAAGACTCCTTATAAATCAAAAGAAATTGGAAAGAATAATTGAAAAAATAGGAGTCAGGTGCAGAAGACGTCGCGCAAATAATACATCCATAAAGTGTAAAACTTCTTTATTCTACTAAACGTGCTTACATGTTTCGGCTCACAAAAAACTTTAAAATTATAATTAATTATCCCGAAAATAAGGACGCTCACCGTGATCACAAAGCACCATATATCGCAAACATTACTATTCTTTCCAATTTCTTTTTATTTTTACCAATATGAGAAAATGCGGTACTAAATAATTCTTAAAAAATTCTCAGAACTCTATGAGAAGAAAATAAATAATTCTTGTCTCTTGCTGTTTTTCTGTAAAGTTGATAATATTTCAGTAAAAAAATTATTGAAAACCAATATTTAGCGATTTTTATTAATTAATAACTTGTTAACTATTGCAAAAATTGCAAAATAGTACAGGACTTTTCGACTCAGTTTAGTCCGCTCTATCAGCACATAAAATATTTGGCGGTCATTCAGGAATATCCTGCATAAGTACATTAAAATATATATTAAAGTATTCATTGTTATAAATATATTGCATCATTTTACTTTAATCGTGTAATTATTTGATTATACGTAAATAGACATAAAAAAGGTTTAAAACAGTTATTTTCAATCTATGATATGCACCATATATGTATATATATATGTTAATACATATATACTACAGGAAAATTTTGTCTGTATTCACCTAGTTAAACTATTAAAACATGCAAAATGTTCTAACATTATGCAACATATCATATTTTTTGTACGTACTGTTTGTGTATACAGACAAAATTATTATCTCATTCTATCAAACTACAATATGGGGCATTATGGGGAGAAATGGGGATTATACTTCTCTAAATATGAACTTATTATTATCTCCAAAAAATCAAGTAAAATCTGGAGTAATTATAACTGATATATATCAAAGATCATTGACAAAAAAGGTAACTCGAAGTAGTGTGCATGTTTCGTGTCGTGTATAGTATTCATTGGTGCGTTAGTTAACATAATAAGTCAACAAGACTGTATTCTAAGTTTGAGCGTTATAAGAAAATGATGCATAGACAATCGATCGATACCTGTTGGCAAGGGTCCAAAATACTTTTTAACAATAATAATCCGTAAAATTGCTTCTATGATCCTTTTGATCAAATTACAGATGACATACGCAATGCACACTTATCCAAACAGTATTGGACAGTGCAGATTGCAATATTCTATGAATTCGCATCTTCTAGTGTAGCGTACATACTGTTTTCTATTCTCCATCAAGATAGAGAATATAAGTTTGAACTATTAAAATGAATGTGTAATATATCTCATAATATTTACTCACAAAAATGGAATTGACAGTCTTTTATACATTATTAATTAGATCGAATATTGTTTAATAATCAAGATAAATATAAAATTAATGGAATAGGAGTATATAAATGCAGATAACGGTTTGGACCCCTGGATAAACAACTTGATCCTCCATCATATGGAAAATATTTCAAAGAATATAAAGGCCCAAGAGAGATAACGAGGTATTTCTTTTACTTACTATTGTTGGCCATCAGGTTCTCGTGTAGCTTGTCCCTCTGGTCCTCCAGAACCTCACCCAAATACGTCGCCACTTTGCGCGTTACTTGCTCCACGTATCCATCAAGTTTGCCTAGGTCATCTGACAAACCAACCAACTGATCCAACGTTCCGACCTTCAGATCCGGGATATGAAATTTGTAGTTCACCGATAGAGAGTGCTGCTTGGATGTTAAATTGTTCATAGTTTCCCACGTCTGCTGACAGGTTTTGTCTCCCGGCGCGGAAATCAGCCAATATTCCGTCATCATGAATAATGTGTTTTGCTACTGAAGTTCTAATAAACCTGAAATAGTGACATTGCGACACCAGTTAACTTAAAATTCTTAAATGATCTTGTTTCCAAGTATAAACAAATTACAAAAGAATTTCTTTTAAGTGTACATATGTAATCACTTAAAATTGCTAGTTTTTCATGAAAAATTAAGATAAGAGGCCTGCCCCTTTTAACTAAACTTTTTACATGATTCACCTTTCTTCTTTTTTTTTCTACGTTGATAAAGAAAAGAGAAAAAATAAACTGTGTAATAAGTTCAGTTAAAAAGAACAGAGCTAAGTACGCATAAGAGTGTAATATAGTAAATTACTTAAGTATTATAAAAAATAATTTTACTCTCTCTCTCTCTCTCTCTCTCTCTCTCTCTCTCTCTCTCTCTCTCTCAAAACTCGCTTTTATATCGCTTTTAATTGCCGCGTTCAACAAATACAACTATATAATTTTACAATCTCGATAAATGTAAAAGGTTGATCTCTCCCAACCATCTCAACAACCACCTGCTGCCATCCTGTCATGCATCGAACCGGGTGCATGCCGCGCCGCTTGCATTTGCGCAGCAGACAGCGGTCGAGGAGACGACCCAAGACGACCGAGCGATCGTTGAATAGAAAAACGAATTAAATTCGCGGGAATTTGCGGCTAGCGGGATGAGCCGCACGGAAGGGGGTGTGGCACGACAGGAGCGTCCGCTTGTTATGTAATTAGGCGCCTTTTCCACGTGACCGTACATACAAACGGCCCGCGGCGTACGGCCGATCGATATCGAGAGAATCAAGAGCGAAAGAAAGACGGAGAGACAAAAAAAGGAAACTATCCGCGACGGGTAGTGGCGTTAAAGAACGGTGCGTCCTTGGACGACATTTCTGGACGAGATCTTCGGAGAAATACACGAATGAATCCCATGATGGGAAAGAAAGAAAAACAGCCGCCGTCGCCAATCCAATGGCGTCGGCAGACCTCGAGCCGCCCTCGAAGGGATCGATAACGCGCGACGCGTTGGTGGTGGGCGTGGAGGAGCGTGAACGTACGACGCGAATAGGAGTCGAAAATCATACGCGGGGATTCGCACCGAGAATCTTTGCGGATCGTTTTCGACGGCGCCGATTTATCCGTAACGTTTCGCCTCGGGAACGAGATCGGCAGGCGCGTGCCCGCGCGTGCGTCTCGTCAAGATGAATGTAACCACCAGCCACGTACCAGTGAGAGATAGCTAAGCCTCCTCCTCGTCGTTATCGTCCTCGATGTTGCGCGATCGGGCGCCAGGTCGGCTTTCCACCGAGGAGACTTCAGAGGATCTCGCAGGCTGGACGACGCTGTTCGTCGACGACAGGACCATCAGAAACCATTGTGACCGCTCACGTGATGACAGATTGCGTGCTGCTGCCCTACGACCCGCCCGACAACTAAGCCGCCGCGGTCCCACAACGCCGTGCCGTCAGCTGACTCCGCACCGCAGTGCCGCCAACTGCGGCCTTTTCGACCGATTCAACCGATTGAGACCGAAGTCGCGCGCCTGCAATCTCAGTTGCGTCTGTCGTCATTTATTGTCATTTATCGCTGCACCAATTGGAAAAAATTGTAATTGAATGGACAAATGCGAAAATCTACGTCATACAAGAAAGTGGTTTTAAGAGAACGATTGGCAGCACTGTCGTTGTGTATGATGACGTGTTAATACGCCGCCAGCCCGCCATTGCTTTACGATCGCGTCGCTTCATAAGTAATATTCTGTTGTGTTTTGGAGTTATTCCATTCATCCTATTCTTGTCCATTCTTATCTTTCGTTGGAATTGACGGAGAAAGAGGAAAATATTTACGTAATATATTGAAATATTTGTGAAGCGTCATGGGTTGCGACGGTGGCACTATTCCTCGCAGAGACGAGCTCGTTAGGATGAAAAGAAAACCGGAACAGGTAAGTTTGGAAAGTCTATAACCTCACTTGGAGAAGTTCGATTTTTTATTGAAATTTCTGTCAGAATCTTGAACATTAAAGGTTTGTTCGCGTTGCATGCTCCAACGTGCTCCTACCATAGATCCTACTCACTCAACGCGCGTTGGAATAGAATCTATGGTAGGAGCACATTGGAGCATGTGACGCGAACAAATCTTAGTCTTATTGTTTTTAATAGGTTTGTTTTTTTAATTACATATATTTAATATTTATCAAAACAAGAATAAAAGTTCTCGTTCAGCAATAAAAAAAACATACAATATCACTCTTGGTATCATTTTTTTTATTCTTTTATTCTGCAATCTTGAGCTGATTTAAATTATTTTCAATATAAGTTACTTTAAAAGGAAATGTCTAATTATTTACTTTCTGTATATTATTACTTATGTTGCATATTTATATGTGTGTGTATATATATCTATTTACAGAAAGATAAGGAAGCAGAATTAGCTTTTAAGTGGAAGCACTGTACAATACGGCAATTACCACTGCAACCACCAATCGTGAGCTGTAGCTTAGGTCGCCTGTACAGTAAAGAAGCTGTGTTGGAAGGTCTTTTGGATCGAAATACTCTTCCGGAATCTGCCGTACATATTAAGAACTTGAAGGATGTAAGGAATCTCAATTTAACATCAAATCCAGCATTTGATGGTGATAAAGCTGAAAAAGGAGACAGTTACAACAATGGAGGCAAAAGTCCATATATTTGTCCAGTCATTGGTTTGGAAATGAACGGAAAATATAAATTCTGTTTCTTATGGTCATGCGGCTGTGTAATGAGTGAACGTGCCCTCAAAGAAGTAAAGAGTACAGTAAGTAAAAATATTTAGTATAGTTATATAACGAAAATAAGTACTCTCTTCTAACTGAATAAGTTTTACAACAGAAAATGTTAATTTCACAATTTAATTTAATTATAGTCGAATTTTATATCTTAACTTTTTTAACTTATTATTTGTGCGATCTTTATAATCGACTGTTACATGCCCTTCTTATTATTTATATGGTTAATTAAATTTCACAGTTGTGTCACAAATGTCAACAACCGTTTGAAGAGACAGACATAGTCATATTAAATGCAGAAGGAGATGATGTGGACCTCATGAAGGAGCGAGCGGTGCTCAGAAAAGCTAGTCAAAAAAGGGCAAAGAAGAAGAAGTTAGAGGATGATTCTGTCTCAACAGAAGAAAAGAAGACCGATGAATTGTCCAAGAGGAAGATAAAGAAGGAGGATAAAGCAATTCCTAAATTGAACAATAATCACAAGGAGGCCGATGATCCTGCTTATAAAAAAGCTAAAAGTGATTACAGCGTTGCGAAAGATCCTAAAGCGTCGGAAGTCTTCAAAAGCATTTTTACTTCTCATAAATCTGCAACAGAGCAAGACAGAGCACATTGGGTTACTTATAATCCATTTTATAATTAATGTATATATAATATAATATGTAATATATAATATGTATTAAGTAATAAATAGATTTTATTGTACATCTTACTTTATGCTCGTTTTTCAATTTAGTTGACCTTCCTTATATTATTTGTATAAAGCAGTTAGAAATTATGTTCTTAGAAAGAAAATGTAAAAAACGATTTACATTATAATTTTGTGACTTAGCTCTAATCAGTATTTGCGAGTTGAGTAAATCCGACATTTTCTCAATTACAATTGTGAAAAATTTTTTATAACAAATATTTTTCACAACTTTACATATTTTCAATAACATAATGTTATTCCTCAAATTTTGACCTTTAAAATAAAAAAAATCGTTCAATTATGTTAACGTTAAACAAAAATACATTAATTTGAAATACACGACCCACGATTATCAATTAAGAAAGTTTCAGAGCGAATAGGGAGGGGAGAAGGGGGAATTAAAAGATTTTAAAATATATAAATATAAGCGAAATGTATAATTTAATATTATTTACGTTAGCCAATAAAATAAAAGATAAAGCCAATAAATAACGTATAATTTTTTTATATCAAAATAATTTACATAATCTACAAATTCATATTGTATGTATGTTTTAAAGGCACATAATTTAATTTGTATACAAATTTCTTGGAATTTAAATATATACTACAATTGTTTAAAAAAATTATATTGACTATGTGTGTTTAAAATACAATACATAATTCTTGCAAAGTTATCAAATTACATTTACATAGGTATCCTACGCACAACCAAGGCTCGAATAGCTCCAAATATTCTCAGTATAGCACGTTTCCTGCGTGAATATCTGTTCAATCCCAAATAACTGCACAGATACACGATAACTGTCACTATAATAACTATCACTATTACGTAACGCCATTGGTGTACGATCACATATTCTTCCTGAATTTCTTTCGCGTCATAAGCTGTAATATCAATATCGAGATGTTGTAATGTAGAGATACCAGCACCACCAATTCGTCTCTTAAGCCACAAAGTGTCCGTATCTTGCATTACTGAATTTGCTGCGCTCATAGTATTTCCTACAGAAACCATCTTCTGAGACCTATAAAGTTCTCTGTGAAAAAAAGATTAAAAAAAAAAGAATATTCAAGATGTTCACAAAAATCTAGAAACAATTAGTAATGATAAAACAAATACATAATTTGCTTGAACACTAAATAAGAGCCATCATTTTCAGCTGTAGCCTCTAATTTTCTATTCTTTCTGCTAATTATAAGGTAAGTGGGATACAATTTTAAAATATTTTCTTCTAGCATTTACTTTTCAAATATAGGAACAAGAAAAGAATTGAGCAAATTTATGAAATGTATCTGGAATTGAAATAATATTTATATATGCGTGTGAAATTACTTACATTGGCACAGATTCATTAACTGGTACAGGAACGGCATATATAGGAGTGGTACATAACGGAAGAGGTCTAAAACTACCTGCTGGTTCGTTAGTTATTAATACTTTACTATGACGACTAAAATGATTTTCCTTCATTCGATATGGTAATTCTCCAATCTCTATATTACTGGTCGTTTTAACAGTCTTGTGCTTTTTCTGACTTTCATCTATGAAAACAGTAGGTACGTAACCTGTTGTTGTATATTCTAAAATAGCGTCCAGCATCCAAAAACAGGCTAAATATGAATAATAATACCATTTCAATAAATAATATCTAATGAAATTGTACAATTCAAAAGTTACAGAATGTTTCAAGAAATGCAAAAATTTGAAATATCTTCTAACGTAAAATATTTATCAGTATTACAATATTTTGTCATTAATATTTTTTTGTAATACATACATTTTTGTAAATGGCTGTCATCAATACAATTTGAATCTCCATAAACAACGAGTCTACCGGACGTACTCGTCTGATCTTTGACATTTTTTTCACCATTCTGATCTGCTTGTATTTCATTATGAAATTTAACATTAAATGCGACTTCAACATCATTCTCATTCGTCACTTGTAAAAGTCCGAGTATTGGTACAAGTGTAGGTATTCCTGATTTTTTTTCTAGAAGCTCTTGACCCTGATCATATAACTCTACATACAGAACGATTCCACCTTTTGGAAATCTGAATAAATATAAAAAATCTGTTGTATAAAATCTAAACTAGTTTCCCTGCGTACAAAATATTTTACCTAGTTAATGTAGTGCCAGACGCAAATATGACTGGCGCGTGCTGGCCAAGGGTGAACTGACCGTTTCGTACTTCGTCGCTAAATGCCACACCCCAATTAGGATAAAGCAGATCGTTTATGGCTGGAATATTAGCACCTCCCGTTTCAGGTATCCACCATCGATGGGTGTTCTGATCGTAAAACTTGATTTCTCGCATGACTGCTACATTGTACCAGTCTGCAAATACAATTACTGATAGACCGTTCTCTTCCACATCTCGCTTCAGCTTTGTCACCTGCAATTGAAACCATTTCACATTAGCATATATAAGTGAACACATAGAAAGTACGTGATCTTATAAAACATAAATGCATACTTCTTCAGGAAAAAATTCTTCTTCCGTATCCACAATAAGCAGGGTCCCATAATTTCTCGCGTCAAAACAAGTGTACGGATGGCCAAGCACTTCAAGATAATATCCGGTATTACGTAAATGTTGATACATGTCTTTAAAATTAGTATGTATATGATCTCCGTTCCAGTCGAGAGGGTTGTTTTTTACGCGCAAATCATCTCTAGGAAAATATCCGGGTGGATATCGCAAGTTATGGTACTGATCCCACAAGATACGTTTACTGAAGAAATAATAAGAGATATTGATAATTTATTAAATATCCTTGCAAATATATTTTTTAGTACATTACGTTCAAAAGTATTAATTTTACTCACTGTCTAGGAGGTGTGGGTATAATTTTTGCCTGCAATGGGAGCGTTACAGTTGATTGCCGTGGTTTCCCTGCGCCATCGCTCTCAACCGTGAGTGAGATATGACCTATACAGAAAAGCAATCTGCTTATAATAAATACAAATCAATTTACCATAAAAATGAAATTAATGTTTAAACCTTGCGCAATGCCCTGCCAATCGTGAGATGTTGATGGAACTGTTATAGCAACTGCTAACCAGCCAGACCATGGCCACAAGACATCGCTATATGTTATCGCCACATCAATATGTTCACCATTGCCGTTACCAGTATATGGATGCCAGGTAAGATTTACTACATTTCCAGCTACACCCAAACCATTTATTATAGTTACATTGACTATCGTTGGCATACCAGTATGGTATATAGCTTGAGTACAGTATGGCCACATATACTGACATTCCGTCAAATCTATGTAGCTAATTAACAAAAAGCAAAAGATCGATTATTGATTTGTGTAATCAAGACTTTATCGGTCTTGTCTTTATGTATTTCATCTGATTATTTTATCATTTAATACGCGATTATTATATTATTACATATGTATAAATAATATCTATAATTAATGAATCAACAGATTAACTAATTAAACAAATATCAATATCAAATAAAAGACAAAAAAACATTAGCTATCGTGTAATAGTATTTTTTCATTATTTATAAAGAAAAACTTACCTTGGATGAAGTGTAACGACAGGAATATATGACTGTAAAAAATGAAAGGCCTGCAAGAGATCTAATTTTCCTGCACCTTGTTCAAACATACTAATTCCAGGTAAGCGACGGGCTGAATTTATTAACGCTTGTTTCATACTTGCCGGTGTTACCTTACAAATATTTATTATTTATTAAATACAAAATGCAATAGAATTTAATTTTTTACAATATTCACTTTCTATACAATATTCAATGATATTTGTATTGATGCATAAGTATGAAAAATCATAATTACCTTCTCTTTATTAGTTTTAGATCCATTTATTTCTACAAATGCACTAGCTAATAACGCAACCGCACCAGCAACAACGGGACTAGCAACAGAGGTACCGGAAAGACTTCTACATCCGTTCTGTAAAGCGGATACTCTTACTCCTGATCCATATGTGACTAGGTCAGGTTTGATTCTACCATATCCATAAGGCAATTCCCAAGTAGTCATACCGCGCGAAGAAAACCTTGCTATTTGATCATCCCAATTAATGCCTCCTACACCAATCACGTCCATTTGATCGGCAGGATTACTTAAAGTGCTGTGCAAACGAAATGCCGGGGGGTGACATACCAACTAATCATACTTATAATTTTTCTAAATACATAAGAAATCGAAGAAAAACTCGAACTTAATAAAAAATAACTGAAATCTAAATCTTAAAAAACTGATTACTTTGAAGATAGAGAAGCAATTACAGATTTTGATAATATGTATCTGAAGTTTTAAATAAACTCTAAGAAAATTATATTACTTTATTTACCCATATAAAGGTCCGTCATTGCCAATTGCCGATACCATAATAATACCATTAGCTGTAACCTCCCATACTTTATCGACAAATGGTTGGTCCATAAAATCTGGACTACCAATGCTCAGATTCAACACTGTTATTTTGCGAAGTATAGCATGATTGAATGCATCCAAGAACCAAGAGGTATAAGACACCTATTATATTTTAGATACAATTCTTTTAAGTCATGAAATTACAAATAGGAGAAAAGAAACATGAAGGACAGAGGTACCTGATCGTTTGTAAAAACACGGAAAATATAAAGATCTGCGTCTGGAGCAAAACCAAAACAGTCTCTGGAGGATGACGCAATAACACCAGCTACAAATGTCCCATGACCTAGGCCATCCTCCCGAGTGTTCTCATTCGTCCAATTTATTCTTTCTTTGATATTTTTGAAATGTGGATGACTAGCAGCAAGCCCAGTATCAAATATCGCTACTTTTATATCTTTTCCAGTAATGCCCATTTTCCATAGTATATCAGCTTCGAGCATATGAGTAATTTGCTTCGGTATAGCTCTTAATAACTTTCGAGATGTATGTCGGTTTGTCGATTGTCCAGACTGAATATTCTGAAATTAAGTTTTTCCTTAACAACATTAGATATGATTTAATATCAAAAATTTAGATGCATATAGTTATCTTATTTTTATACACTTCAAAATTTTTATAATTTGCAAACTTACATTAAGTCTTCTTTCGAAGTTTCCATATTCTAAGACATCAGAATCATTTGATGTTATATTGATAAATTTTAAAGTTCTATGTATAAGTCTCTGTGGCGACACACTCTTTACAAGTGGATGATTATTTAAAGCTCTGAGTCCTTCGTACTTATCTGTTTCTTGTAAACGTACAATATCAAAATCACTAGGATACATGGATGCTGCATTGTTACGCAGTATGATTTTCCATTTCTTAATATTAGACGAGTTTAATACGGCTCTTATATAATTCTCTCGTGCATGTGCTTTATAATAACTATTAAATTTGATTATATACTCATTTTCGACTATACTAGAAGAAAAGGTAACTTGAACTTCTTCATAATGAATATCACGACAGGAGTCTGGAGAGACGGATTTTTCATGCAGTGAAAATTCTGCAGTACAATCACTATTGTTACGTTTTTTAGAGCTGTTGTTAAAGTGATTATTGTTTGACCCATGAGAAATGCAGAGCAAAAGTAACAAGGAGATGTATAGAAAACATGTGTGCAGCTTCATACTATTAATTCTGCCTGAGAACTATGCTTCATACTTAGCCAAAGTTATAGCAGATATTAAGATTTCGTGAAAATATTTATAAATGAGCAACTTATTCTTTTATAATATAGAACAATCGTCACTCAATCAGCATTCTTTCAGTATTCACTTTCAATATTCATCATTTCAGTAATCATAAAGAATTAATGGTTTATAATCGATTCGTGGTGCAGCTTGAAATCAACTCTTTAGATCAATTAACGATAGTTCAAGCAATTCGAAATGATCCTGAAAGCAGCCACGAACGAGTGCTCGGTCTTTTTAATAACATTCTTCACATCTTAACCTCAAAAGCTACTGCGGGAAAATATTTTAAATCATTTTGGATGATTTTTCAGAGCGCATTTTAATTGCGAACTATTTTACGTCGTTGCGAGAATGAATAATATCGCATTGACATAAATAATTTACAGTTCTAACACAACTTAATTGTTAATGAATTAAATATGTACATAACTGTGTATGAATGTATAAATGAATAATATAACACACATATGCAAAAAAAGACACAAGAGAGAAAGGTAGAAGAAGAAAAAGGTAGAAAAAGGGAAAG